ATTCTCAATTAAATCATCAGAAGGTATTGGTATACCTTGCCTAAATTATACTACTTTAAAGTGCATTTCCCCACTGCCCAACTGTACCTGATTGAGACGGAGGTGAAAGCTTTAAGGGTCCTTTTTTCCACAGGCTTTTGTAATGCTGAGACAGAGCCTAGTTCCATTTGCCTCTTGAGAGCATTTTATAGGTTAAGAGAAACATTTAGTACTATGGCATTTTTCTCTATTCCAATGGCTCTCAAAGGTTTTGATATACATAAGGATCACTTGGGGAAGTTGTCAAAAATACATATTCTCTAGGCCTCAGTCTCAGATACGATGGTGTACAGAGTCTGAGAAAATTCAAGAATCTTCATTTTAACGCGTCTGGCATGATAAGTTCCTTTGACAGAGAAAGCGGCTCCTCCCACCCACTGAACCCAAATTCTGAGAGTTTTACAGTGAGGTCTTAGAGGTAAAAACCAATGCCCTCCCCTAATGATCTCCTTGACCTTTGGTTAGTGTCCGTCTCACTGGCCCGGCTTTCTCCTCACGATCATTTCTTCGCCCTTTTTGCCTGACCCTTAAATGAAACCAGTGCTCACAGGCCATTTCCCCCATGCAGGAAGCCCCAACACTGGGTAACCCCACCTTCATCCATGCAGTGTGGCTGCTCTGCACAGGTTTCTCAAACGGCACCAAGCTTCATGCTCTCCTGGCTCCAGCTGCAGGTCTCTAACTGCCTCTCAGTGCTGCTCAGACTTCTCAGACAACGGGGCTAAAACTCTCCCTGACCTTCTGTATACTCACACAAGCTGAACTCAGAAGCTAAATCACCATTCTTTCTTGCAGTCAGTCTTAAAAACCTAGAATCTTCTTTACCTGTCTCTCATTCCCAATATCAAAGCAATTGCTCAACTCTAGTTCTATCCCTAAAATTCTCCTTACAGTTTATCATGCTTTTGTTAATGCCCTAATTAAGGTCTTTTAAATATCACCTGTTCCATCCTAAATGGTTTTCTCCCCATCAACAACCTCCTAGAGATGCCAGCTCAATTTATCTGATCAAGTGCATCACTGATTAGATCAGCTCTTTGCTCAATGACTCCCAGAGCCGCAGTCAGTCCAGAAGTGTTACTTTTCTGTTGCTCAAGACCATCCACTAAAATCTCCCAACTGTGGGCTCTTTCCCATAATGGCTGGTCTCCCTATGACCCACTACTGGTTCATCCTTCTTTGAGGTCCAATTCAAGAGTACCCTAAGTTCCCTAGAAGGAAATCAAAATAGGTATTGTGGGAGGTCAGTAATAAGGGAAATATCCTCAACTTTTGTTGTTCAGTTGTATTTAATGGTACAAAAGGGTTTCAAGTGACTGATAAATGTCCAAATACCCAATATATATTAATTAAAGGCTTGAATACCTTAAGTAGTTTCAATGATAATAGTTATAACAATATTAGCTATTATTGCAGAGGCAGTATATGGAGAGCTGACTGTGTACTTCAAATACATTGCTTCCTACACTGATAATCTGTCAAAAACGGAAATGACCTTCACTTTATAGATTAAAAAAGTGTATTTTCCAGAGTTCAGACCAAGGTGACAGAGTAAGAGAATGTGGAGCTCATCTCCCTCTGTGAACACATCAAAAACACATCTACATGTGGAACAGTTCTCACTGAAAACTAACCAGAAACTGGCAGAAGAACTCCTGCACAACCCAGGCTGAAACATCCATACGTAACGAAGGGAAGAAAAGCATCTGAATCGGGACTTGTGCCCCTGAGTGGGGACTTGTCCTAGACTCGTCCAGGGAGTGAGCCACAGCCTGGGGGCCCCAGTGCTGAGGTCTTGAGTGGGAGAGAAACCCTGGCTGGCTGGAGGGCTGGGGGAAGCCTGACTCCTCTTGGGAGGGACAAGAAGGAGAGAGGTTGACCCTCGCGGTTGCAGGGTTTCCTGTGATCTCCTTGCTCAAGCCAAGCAACGCTCCATCGCCACTGACTCCACATTCCAGCACAGTGCTGGATTTCTCCCGTGACTCGGGAAGAGACTCGACTGTGGGGTGCACAGGTGAGCCAGGGCCCGGCAGAGCCCGGGGGGGCAGAGCGCCTACTCCAGCAGTGGATCAGAAGCTACCCAGACCGCTGACGGTGGCTGTCCACCACGGCTCCTTCCTACCCCAGCCCACGCACACAGGGTCCACGTGGGCCCTGCCGACCCTATGAAGTCAGCTGGTGAGCAGCTGTGAGGAACAGACAGGGCTTGCACCAGAGGCTGTGTCCGAGCAGACCCATGGGCGTCTGCACAAACAGTGCGTCGGGCCTCAGTCTGCAGCTGACATGGGCTGGGAGTCAGCCTGGGCCCTACCTGCGTTAGCATCTCAGGGGCAAGGGTCCCAATGCAGGGAGACAGAAAAACACACACCTCAAGGGTACAGGGCTTCCCTGGCGGCTCAAATGGTAAAGAGTCTGCTCGCAATGCTGGAGACCTGGGTTCGATCCCTGGATCAGGAAGATCCCCTGGTGAAGGACATGGCAACCCACTCCAGTATTCTGCCTTGGAAAATCCCATGATGGAGGAGCCTGGTGGGCTACAGTCCCCAGGTTTGCATGGGCCCAAACAGTTGGCATGACTGAGTGACTTCACTTTAAAGGGGACAGAGCCAGGTCAGGCCAGACCATCAGGGCTTCTGCTCCATGAAAGTGAGATCAGCCCCGGTCCCTGGCAGGGCAGTGATGGTCCCTGAGCAGAGGAGCAGCCTCACTCACACTCTGCGGAGGCTCTGGTTCCTCCAGCACCAGCCACAACCCCGAGCAAGCTGAGAGCGGCCAGCACATCCTGAGGAAAGAGGTGACTCGGGTCCACGTCAAACCCACCTCTTCCAACAAAGGCACTGGGTACACACAGTCTGTACAGAAATGCGCCACTTAACCTTCCCCTTTGAAGGCCTAAAGAGGCAGCTATTTTACCTAAATGCATAAAGGCATACAAGGTTAAGCAAAATAAAAGGACAGGTGAAAAGTTAGGACACCATCCACAAGTACTGCGGACCAAGACTTAATCTTCAGTGTTATCACTGAGTGAGCTCTAAATTTATGCTGACAGCTTATTAGAAGTGGATTTAGAGTATTTGGAATGTAAAAGTATGTTTTAAATGCATAGGATGAGTGTTGAACATGTAAGTTAACTTACTGTGTAACAGCTTCATTAATTTACTGTCATAGTAATTTATTTCATTAATACCTTGCTGTCTTCAAGCTCTTAAAAGATTATCTCTTTGATTCCAGTACTTAATAGATTGTTTAGCATTTCCTAATAAAAGGGCTCCATCTAGTGGAGCAATTCAATCATTTTTGCAAGACAGAAGGTAGCAAGGTTAATTAAATCCCTTATATTAAGGCCTGACAGTGGTGATAGTTTCAGGGAAATGCTTGTTCTGACGTGCACAGTGCCTATTCTTCACCTTGCCTTGATAAAAAGGCAGAAGATGGAGGTAAGGTACATGCAAGTATGCTGGGATTTACCATATAAATTCAAGGCATTAACCATCAGTAAGACAGCAAAGTGGCTCTCCTCTAAAAACACTAATTTACGAGTGTGCTCGCTAAGCTTTCGAAAACAGAGTTTGAAGTTTATTGTTGTCTCTAGCAAGTAGGACAAGCCTTATATTGTGTAGGTGCTTAAGAACTGCTGAAAAAGTCCACATACTTTTACAAGGTCAATAAAAATGCTATGGCTGAATAACTTCTAAAAGAACTATATAGTAATACTTTAATCATATCTGACTCCTTTCCTTCACAGCCTCAAGTAGCTGGTTGTGGCCAGCTCAAAATTTCCTGGGAACATCCGAAAAAAAAAAAAAAATCTAGGTTGGTCCTTCAAATGTTCTCATTTATATTCCCTTTCAAAAAGCATTTATTAAATACTTGTGACATGCACTAGTTGCTGATGGTAAAAAAGAAATCCATTAGTTTAGACATATTCAAAATTAAAACCAAAGTCTAACAAAGATGAGAGAATCAATTTGTAGTAAGAGGAGAGGAAGCAGGAACCTTAGAAGCAAGCAAATGAATAGTCTTATAATAACTCATATCCTGTTAACAATGGAGCAGAAGGTAAAATCTGAAAACCCTGAATGGAGCAGAGCACTCAAACGCCAGCGCTGCCTGCGGTAATCAGCTCTGCCGCAGCGCGGGGGCCACTAAGGATGAGCACAGTCTGGACCTAGAGACTCACACCGAGTGAAGTCAGTCCGCCAGAGAGGGGAAAACATGGTGTGACATCCCTCAAATGTGGAATCGAAAAAGAAACCACACAAATGAACTTACCTACAAAACAGACTTAGGGAATGAACCTGTCGTTGCTGGGCCAGGGGGGAGGGGTGGGGGGAGGGACAGTGAGGGAGTCTGGGATGGACGTGCACACACTGTCATATTTAAAATGGGTCCAGCACAGGGGGCTCTGCTCAGTGTCACGTGGCAGCCTGGATGGGAGGGGGCTTGGGGGAGAATGGACACGTGTATATATGGCTGAAACTATCAGAGCATTGTTTGTTAACTGGCTATACTCCAGTATCACACAAACTTTAAAGTTAAAAAAAAAGAAAATGGATGCAGTCTTTGGTGCATGTTCATGAAGCTTCTTCCAGAAAAAAAAACTACATTAAATTTAACAAGACCAAAATATACCTTTGAAAAATGTCCACAAACTGTCATCAAAAAAGTCTTTGGTGTACAAAGAGTTATTGCAACTTGTCTATTAGAAAACCTGTCTGTTTAGAACTCTTCCTTTGTGAAGGTTTTAACAAACAAGGTACTGCAGTAACACCCTGAGATGCTAAATGCTGTGTATGTATATGGTCATGACCATTTATTCCCCTGCCAAGAGATAGCAGAGGTGACTCTGACCATTTGCAGAAGTGAGGGGCAGAGCAGTCAAAGATGACCTGCCACATCAACACAAAACCATGTCACCACTATTTCCTTTTTATTTTTTTACTGGAGAGTTGCGAACTTACCGTCCAGAAGAAACTGGCTTAACTGAACCAACATTTTCAAACAGCTGGGCCTTTGCTGCCACACTGAAAAATAATTTCAAAATGCGAGTTTCATTAAAATGCATTTCACAGCTCAAAGTGAAAATCAGAGCTAGCAGTTAACCAAACCAAAAAAATGAGTTAAAATTTGCCCCCAAAATATAAACTGAATTTTAATTGTTTTAAGTTCTAATACAGAGGTAAGTTTTAGATCTAGCGTCTAGTTCACTGAGTACCAGATGGGAATAAACCTGCATCTACTTCCTCTGGGGATCACACTGTCTGCATTTGCTGCACCTCAGAAAACTGTGCGGGCAGAAGAGAAGGAACCTTCCATCTCCCACTCCACTCCTGGAAGTCCTGCTGTTGACTCCACGGAGCCACGAGGGAAGAGTCGCATCAACAAGATAAAACAAGAGCTGCTTTACATTCTCACAGTCAAGACAAAACAAATTCAAAAATGGTTTCATGTATTTTTAAAATACTTGAACATACTTCCTATAAAGTGAAAAGAGAGAAATCTGAAAATATGACCAACAAGTAAATTTGTGGATTCAAGTCTTGTTTCAAAGCATCACACGGGAAAGGCAACATATGAAAAGTAAGACTATAGGGTAGAAAAGAATTAAAACTAATGTAACCCAGCTAACTAGATAAGTTCCTATATTTACTAGAAGAGAATATAAATTTATTTGAATGATGTTTTAATGAACTGAATATTTAAAATCTACCTTATTTCTTAAATTGACAAACTTTTCTCTCAGAACTGAATCATTTGATAATTTGCAGGATCATTTCACATCTAACGCAGAACATATACTCTACAATTTAAGTTCTATTTTATCAGTAAATCACAAAATAGAAGCTCTTCTCTTTCCCTCACAAAGAATAAAGTTTATATTTTCTCATCTCCCTTTACACATTTGGCTTAAAATTCATTTCCCTTAAGGGCTAGAACTATACACACCAGGGAATAGACAACTGACACAAAATCTGCCTATACTGTGGGAGCTGGATTTCTGAGAGAACGTATGTGAAACTCCCTCTGAAACCAAAGGTTTTTGTTAATGGGATGAATGAATGAATGTAAGACGTTGTTCCTATGGAAACAGGCTTAGTGAAGTGTCTTACTCGACTTTCAGTGGATAATTAAGCGGCCAGCACCACCGCCACATTACAACTGGACGTGGCGTAAGACGAACAGCACAGACTCAACTGGAGAACCCTGGGTTAGAAGCCTAGCTCCGCCACTTACTAGCGGAGTGAGTGAGGACTGGCTCCCTGACTTCCCATCATCTGTAAAACAAAGTCGATACTGCCTCCTGCAGGAGGACACTGTGGTCCTTAAAATAAGTAACATGTACAAGGATGCTCAGCAATAGCTCATGCCGCATCTGGAAAAGCGCAGTGAAAGTCGAAACATTAAGATGAAAAGGAGGAAGAACTCTCCTCTTTGGATTCTGATTCCGTATTTACCCCACTCCCCACTTTCTCCCATCTGCACCCTCACTGTTCTGGTCTACACACCCCACCCTCTCGGCCTTTACACTTCAGGGTCATATCCTTCTCTTAGAAACACACTATTTTGCCTTTCCCGCTCCCTGTTCTCCAGGAGTTGTTTAAGTCAGTGAGTATTCAGGTTGGGGAGAAGAATGGAGAGTGGAGGAGACCACCCCGGCTAGAAAACAGCTGTATTTCTAACAAAGAGGTAGGACTGAGGATATGGGCAGTCCCAATAGCAGAGTGGTGGGTGTTTAGTTTCCAGACTCCAAACCACTATATTATACATGGCTTTCATGTCCTTAAGAAAAGCCTGCTTATAAGGAAAGCGCCTGAAGTGTGTACTAACATTCACACCACTTGCAGAAGAGGACAGGGTCCTGCAGAAGTTGGTGGTACCCACTCTACGGATGAGCGTTTGGCTGTGGGAATCCCGAGAGTTCTTTTGCACACGTTCAAGCCCTGTGTACCCACAGGAGACACAGAAAACACCCAACAAGCACCCTGTCACTTACACGGAGCCAGGGCGCTGGTAGCCGTTGCTGGAGGTGGTGTCCAGCCTTAACCTCCTGCACATTTTTGGAGGCAGATCTGGGTTTGGCGTGGCTTTGGGTGTCTCTTTGGAACCTATGGAAGTTAAACTTTGAATGGATCCGCTGTAGCTCTTGTTTCCTGAAAAGAAAGCCCAAAAAAACAGGCGAGGTGCTATTAGACAAAATAATAGCAATAACACAGCCCATGCGCACGTAACAAAAGGAAGTCGTTTTCTCTGCGTCCAAATGAGAAGGCACAGAATGTTCTCTGGGCCCAGCAGCCCGTCACTCAGGGAAGATCACTATCGGAAGTAACTGCAAAGCATCACCGCTCAGAAAGCGAAAGTCACAGCACACAGGAGGTTTCAAGCTCCCAGCCCAGGGACAAAGCGGAGAAGCACCGTTTGCCCTCGCTGTTCACGCCTCCCTCCTGAGTCATCAAGCTCAACAAGCTGGTAGGCGACGCAGAGACACGGCATTAGCCGAGGCTCCATCCTGGCTTACCTTCAGCCGCAGAGACGGATCTGAGGGAGGAAGCTGAGGCTCTTTTCAGTCCCGAGAGCCCATAGGGCCCCTTCTTGGCCAGGTCGATGGGTGGGGACGCGTCCCCGGGACTGGTGACGGAGGTGACGCTCTGACAGTCTGATTCCACGTCCGTTTTGGTTGCGTCTTCTCGAGAACTTGACTCGGGACTCGTGGTCCAGAGACCAAGGCTCTTCTGTCCGTTGCTGGGCGATGGGGCCGCAATCCAAGGGATCCCGGCAGACCTCTCCCTGGGCGGGCAGGAGGCAGGCTTCGTGGCGCTGTTCTGCTCGGAGGAGTGGGAGGAGAGGGACTCGACGCTCCCCATGGGCGTGCTGTCGGGGCTGCTGCTATAGGAGTCGCCTGGGGGTCGGGCAGAGACGGGAGCGTCAAGGACAGGGGCTCTCAGTCAGACCTGCACGGTCAGGCCTTTCTGTCCACAACTCCCCAGTGCTCCGCGGCCACCTCGCCCCACTGCAGCGCTAGACCTGGCTTACAGAACTGTCTCAGTTGCGCAGAGAGGCTTTAAAGCATTCGTCTGAACTTGGTGAACCCACTTTTTCTACACCATTCAAGGGAGGCTGTCTATGTGCCCCTATGAAATCATGTTGCTTCTTGAAGTATCAGCAGGCTGACTTGAAATCAGACAAAATGTGCTGCAGAAACAGGATTCACCAGTAGGAGAAGCAAGATGCCTTGATGACATAGTAAGAAATCAATGGAAAGGGGGAATATTGAGACGTATTTCTGCCTTCTGCTCTTCTGATCCTAGGTGATTCTGAGTTACCATGTATCTGAGTCCTCCTGGTAGTAAAGGTGCTATTAAATGTCAGCAGCTCCACAATTCTTATTTTTATCAATTTGTTTTACAATTTTTAAAAGGAAAGGTTATGGAAGAAAATAGGAAAGGATTTCTTTCCTTTCCTTGCTAAGAGTATAGCAACATAAGAAAACTTGCTATTTAACTGGGTGTATTTTTTAATCTTTCTAAAAGTTAAGGTATAAGAAAAAACATCAGAGAAGCAGTAAGGGAGTTTTCAAATACTATATCTAAACACTGATTGTGAGGAAAACTGAGGGCGGAGGGAGAGGGCTGGGTGTACAAAATAAAACAAAAATGGCCAAAGTTGAACTCATGCTTTGTGCTGAAGCTACCAGCCACGGTTATGGTAGGGCTTGGCTCAGAATAGTAAGTTAGGGATAATGTGTGGTATAGAATCTCTATTTCCTTTCTCTCTCTTTCAGACACTTTGATACCCTAGAGATGATGCTTTAGGAACATAAAAGACGGAAAGAATGAAAATGACTGCCTGGGCCAGACTCTCTGGCTTTGTCCGGGACCACTTTGACAACAGGACAAAAGCTGCTACAAAGTAGCACCTGATGTATTTTACTTAATCACAGCTACAGGAAAGAAGGGCACTGGGCAAAAACTATTTTTTTCCCCTTTGCAGCAGGAATGAATTGGCTTGTCCAAGATCTATCCTGACATTGAATATTTAAATGTGGTGGAGGGGGCTGGTGTTGGGAGACAGCGTCAGTAGGGACATTTTCTCTTTCTACCTAATTGCCCATAAGGTGGGATAAAGCTGAATTAACGAAGACGGCATCTCCCTGAGGGTGGGGCACTTACTGTCAGGTTCTGCCAAACACGGAGTATACCTCCCTCTGGGCTTTCGGGAGCCTGAGGAGAGGCAGATTGCACGCGTCCTCCGGGATCCGGATCGAGACTGAGGCTGAGGAAGAGGGATGCTGGGGTCTGGGGCAGTGTGAAAAATCTACACAGAAGAAGAATGGACGGAGGTCAACAGAAGGGTGACACTGGCATTTTCATCATAAAATAAACTGAGTGTTATTAAATGATCTTAGAACTCTATGCTCCTGAATCAGCTGCCTGGCAAGAGACACTTGATACAAGAAATAAACCTTCTAGAGCAATTACAACTTTCTTTTCCATTTACACTGAATAATGTTTCTCCTCTGGGTTTGTTATTCTTCCCTATTCCCCAGCAGTGAAATTCAGATTTTCCAATATTTTTAAGAAATGTTTCAAATGGCATCGAATATCTACGTCAAGACATGCTGATTCTTTTCACTGTTATAGTCACTCTTCCCCTTCATCCTGAACATAACCTGAGGGGAAGAGGACCCTGCTATTATCATTCCCCAGCTAGCAGCCCCTTGCTTCTCAGAAGGTGTTGGCATGTTACTGGCCCTGAGCTGCGGAGAATGTGACGAGCTGCAGGCAGGCGTCTGAGCATGGCTGTAAGAGGCAGCTGTGGACTCCAGGGTTGTGAAAGCACTTCCAGTCTGAGCAAGACTCCAAGACTATCCTTCTATAGGCACTAGAAAGCAACTGGGAAGGAAAGAGGCACCCCCATCCTCTCACAAGGACGGTGTCAGACATAAATAAATCACAGTGTTTAGCCCCTTGATGGCTGAGTTTGCTTAACAATCAGATCATTTTGGTCTTTCTATTTTCTCACTTTCATAATTATTCTAAGATCTCACTCCTAAAGAAAGCCTGCTTAGTGACTGGATATAGAGAGGATTTCAAGACTGTTCTCTGATTTTTATCTAAAATATTAGTTCTTCTGTATAATGAGAATGTAATTCAAAAGAGATAAAAAAGTTACAATAGACTTAATCATAAAGTGATTCTAAAGTATTTTCTGAATACTGAGTAAAAACCTCATTATGTAAATACTAAAGAAGAAAATATTGACAAGCTAATGATGTAGAAAGAAGGGAAACCATCTACCTAGAGGATTTTTGAGAAGTATTTAAAAACTGAATAAGAAAAAAAGAAAAGCAAAGTCCACATAAATAATTTATACAAAATTTATAAGACCCCATATAGGAGCCTGAGAGCACAATGAGATAACAGACGATACAAGTGCAAAATTCCTTCTTGGAAACAAGATAACAAAATTTTATACTTCCACGTGAAAATTCAGCTTACCTTTTCATAGTGCTCTATCAGAATTTCAACCACAATGTTCTGAAACTTAATATTCATCATGGCAGCCACAGTTTCTTCCTGTGCTCTCATTAGAGTTGGACCAAATATAACACCAAGGTTTGAGACTGTCATGAGATTTTGTTGACTATGTAGGGACACTCTGCAAATAAAAGCAACAAAAATATTTTAAGTTATATGTTTAATAGTTATGGAATGTTCTCGCTTACCAAATAATGTTAAGATGTAAATATGATACATTTTATGTATGTATGATACGTAAAGATGTAAATATGATACATAAGATGTAAATATGCCACTACAGACTAAATTTCTCAAATAGTCAGGTTCAGCCACTACCAGCTGGCATTAGGGGGGGTATAGTCTAAATAGATGTAAAAAGTTAATAAACATTAGCACAATAAAACATAATTACTAAGGTTAATCTCTTAAAGGAAAAAAAGAAGTCTTATTTTCTTGAATCAAGTACAATTGCCCTCGGGAAACTACCAGCTATTTGGCAAATCCTACGGTATATTCTTTTAGAACAAATGGTTAAGAGTAGACTGGCTGTGATTATATTTGGACTTACCAAACACATTATTAAGAAACTACTGCTAAACATTTTCACAGATAACACTGTACTTAATTCTCCAAGAAGTCAGTTTTTCCTACTGTACAGATTTAAAAAAAAAAAGCTCCTAAAGTAAGCATGATGTACATGAGGTCATAGCAAATTAGGGACACAGAGTTTTGTTTCAAGTTAGACCTCCTGACTACAAGGCAAGAGTCTCCCTGAGCTCCCCGTGTCAGATGACTGGTCAGGGCATGTTCCCATCCTGTCTTCCATCCACCCATCTCCACTTCCCCGAGGGCCTCCCAAGTGCTGAGCACTGTGCTAGGCAAACAGCACAACAAGGAGATCTGGAAGCATTAGTACTGGCTTGAGAATAAAGAGTCTCTGATAGTACTGACCTTAGCAAAGTAACCCCAGTGAACTCTCAAAAATGACTTTGACTAGTTAACTAATTTAATTTGGAGATGGAATACATTCTTAAGAGGTAACCTTATTTTATTTAAGCAATCTTCTTAGGGTAACCACTGCCTTTTCTATCTTACTCCCAGCGGGGCTGTGAGGATGAAAAATTCTAGTTAGGAGCACAACACAAGATAATGTTTATATGTGACTGAGTATGCACACTAACTCCATTCTAGAAGAAGAGTAAAATTTTATGAGGAATCCGGATTCTGGATTATCCACCCAACATTTGATATAGGGCAGGAAGAGCTGACTGTCGCGTTGACCGAATTTACCCCTTGTGCCCACGACAGCGTTAGCTAAGATTCTTGGTTAGCATAAAAGGAATTTCATTCTAAGCTTCCTTTTTATACAACCAAATATTATAAATTAATTGTTTAATAAGAATTAGCCTAATAAGCCATCTGTAAAGGCAGTGAGCCTGTCTGGGTTTAAAGCTTGGGTCCTTCCAACGTGGAAGCTGGGTGCAATCAGCCTTGTTATTTAATCTCTCTCAAGGCTTCAGTTCCTTCATCTTTAAAGTATAAGAATAATAACCCTGATAGCAGTGTGTTGAGAAAATTAAATAAAATAAGTTAAATTAAATAAAATATGATCTTAAAATAATATTCTTCCTTGTAATTAAATTGGCTTCAGGTATTTTTGCTAAAAAGTAAGAGTGCCTGGTAGTATAAGTAACCTAGAATAAGATTAATATGAAGCTCACTGGGAATAAATTTAGAAATCATAAAAAAAACTGCTCTATTTTGAAAATGAAGTTGATAACCACATTCTTTGGAAGATGATATAATTTGATCACCATATTCCTCTTCACTGAATTTCCCTTCTGCTGGGCTAGTCAGCTGATACAGATTCTTATCATCCCATGTTTCAGCCAGTTCTGCACCCCACTCCCTCAACTTGTATATGAAACACATTCTGAACCGCACTTTTAAATCCTTAAAGTTTAAGTCATAGAGGAGACAACATAAGGCCTTGTCTTAAAGACAATGAATTCTCAGAAAGAAATCAATGATTTATACCATGTCTCAGAGCTAGTTACTGGGGACTTGTAATCAGTCACTGGTCCTTTAGGCCAGTGAGCAATCTAGGTTACTGATCTTAAAGTCCACTAAGTCAATAAGGTGGCCAGGGACCAAGATTGTTATCAGTTGCTACTAGTTTACTTAAGTTAACTACTAATGCCTGCCTGGATGAAACACAAGTTGCAATCATGATTGCTGGGAGAAATATCAACAATCTCAGATATGCACATGACATCACTCTAACAGCAGAAAGTAAAGAGGAACTAAACGGCCTCTTGATGACAGTGAAAGAGGAAAGTGAAAAAGCTGGCTTGAAACTCAATATTCAAAAAACTAAGATCATGGCATTTAGCCCCATCACTTAATGGCAAATAGAAGGGAAAAAAGTGGAAGGGATGACATATTTTCTTTTCCTGGGCTCCAAAATCCCTGTGGACAGTGACTGAGCCACGAAATTAAAGGACACTTGCTCCTTGGAAGGTAAGTTATGACAAACCTAGACAGCACATTAAAAAGCAGAGATACTACTTTGCCCGCAAAGGTCCATATAGTCAAAGCTATGGTTTTCCAGTAGTCATGTATAGATGTGAGTTGGACCATAAAGAAGGCTGAGCACTGAAGAATTTATGCTTTCAAACTGTGCTGCTGGAAAAGACTGTTGAGAGTCCTTTGGACTGCAAGGAGATCAAACCAGTCAGTCCTAAACAAAATCAACCCTGAATATTCACTGGAAGGACTGATGCTGAAGCTCCAATACTTTGGCCACCTGATGTGAAGAGCCAACTCACTGGAAAAGACCCCGATGCTGGGAAAGATTAAAGGCACAAGGAGAAGGAGGCAACAGAGGATGAGATGGCTAGATAACATCACTGACTCAATGGACAAGAATTTGAGTGAACTCTGGGAGACAGTGGAACACAGAGCAAAGAGTTGGACCTGACTTAGCGTATGAACAAGAAGAATAATTAAGTAACGCATTGGCGATGTGAGCACACATTTTACTGCTGCTGCTCAGTCAGAGGAGACTGACATTTTTAGGTTCAGCTAGGAACAGTGGTGAAGCTTGGGCAGAAGATTTTCAGTACTCTTTAGTGGCTAGATATACTCCTTCTATTTCCTGTGTTACAGTCACAATTAAAGGTGAAGCTTGTGTTCATCTAACATTCTATATAATTAAGGAAAAATATTTTATGTGACACTCATGAAGCTTTTGAAGTGTATTTTAAAAGGCTTTGCTAAAAAATTAGCTTGAATGTAGCAAGAGAATACCCACTAAACGTTGTATGGTTGTTTCAAGAAAAGGACACACAACTCAAAAACATAATCCAAGACTATGTAATTCAGACCAAGGTAGTGAGTCCCTGTTCATTAGCTAAATGCCAACAAGGGCAATCATTAACAACGAACTTGAAATGAAATCATTCCTAGTGGATTTCCTTCTTATTTCAAGGAGGGCCAACTCATATTACCTTAAACCCTGCAAGTTAATATAGAGCAAAGTTTCAAATGTGCATGGCTCAAATTAGCATAAATTGGGTTACTACTTGTAGCAAACAAGGAAGGATTAATCATTTGACTATGAATTGCAGTACTCATTAAGACAAAAACTGTTCCCATTTGTAAATGAGACTATAAGAGAATTCTTAAGTAGGTTTAAAACCTGAATTTGGACTTTTGTTTCCAGCAGCATGGTAACTGAACTGAAATCTCTGAATTAAATGTGTGTGTGTGTGTGTGTGTGTGAATCAAGATAGATCTGTTACGGCTAGTATTACATGCCAAATTTGCTAGGCTGCAGTACCCCAATATTTGGTCAAACTTAATTCTAGATGTTTCTGTGAAGGCATTTTTAGATGACATTAACATTTAAGTCAGTAGGCTTTGAGTAAATCAGACTACCATCCATTACCTGGGTGGGCCTCATCTAAACACTAGTTTAGGGTCTTAAGAGAAAAAGACTGAGGTCCCTGAGGAAGAAGGTATTCTGCCTCCAGACTACCTGGATTTGGACCACAACATCAACTTCTCTGGGTCTCCAGCCTGCCTTGAAATCAGCCTCCACAACTGTGCAGCCAATTCCTTGCAACCAATCAGTCTCTCTTACATATACATGTATATACACATAGACACACATACAACAACCTATTAGTTCTGTTCTCTGAAGAAACTTGATTAATACAATATTTATCAAAAGTTTTAAATACCTAAGAGTCAAAAAGATCTTCAGAAACCAACAGACACTAGGACTCTGGGGAAGAAAGCTAATATTCCAATGGCATGTTGACCTGGTAGAACCTGGTGACCCTAGTAAAACTGAGACCTGGTCTTCAAACTTCAGGCTTACAATGCATCTAAAAGAACTGAGAAAGAACTATATACTCCTTCATACATTTTTAAGTTGACGTTCCATCATAAGTATAACAGTTGCAGGGATATAATTACTTACATGTCATAAACACAGATACATACACACATAGATTATATCTTAAAAACAAACTGCTGCATCATTTTTCAAGCAATTCAATGGACTCTGATTACAGTAGCAAAGTTACAGCTCTATCACCCCCTTTGAAAGACATGAATATCCTTAGGTTTATCAGATGAACAAGTGAGTGAGCAGTCTGAGTCAGAGCATTACTTGACCAGGTGCTTTATTAAGATGTCCAGCATCTCTCTGTTTCTCTCTGGCAACTTGTGCACCAATGCATGTACAGCTTCCACCCGGTAGTTTTGGTCATCAGATTCTGTAACATAAAAAAAGGTTGCAAATATTCAAATTCTAATTATATCTTCATTAATAATTTAAACATCATAACCAGTTCCATCCATCATGCCTTATAAGCACTGCTTCACATGGTAAGTATTATCACTATTATTTTCTAAGGCTTAGAGTCACTGGGCCACTTGTCCATGATCTGTAATCACTAAGTAGAGAAGAACTCAGTTCTATCTAATCCTGACCTATGCTCTTAGCCTCTGAACTATATACTTCTATACAACTATAACTCATTTCCTCCTTTGGTTTTGTTACAAAAGGAGAGAATAAAACTTTTAGTAATATGAGTGATGGCAGCAGTTATTACAAATGGTCTAATGTGCCAGACACCACAGTACACTTTATCACATTGAAACCTCTGAGTGACTCTATCAGACCAGAGGAAGGAGGCATTCTTTTCTAAATTTTATAGATTAAAAGACGGCAGAGAGTTATTTTTCTCAGGTGTCAGGATAATTGTGCAACCAAAGGCCTAGTAGATTTTAAGCCCATGCTGACCATGGTACATCTGGGAAGAAAAAAAAGAAAAATCATCTCAAGCAGATCCAGTCTGCAAAGAAAAAGCCAAGAGGCTGATAAGTTGGCTAGAGAAACTTGTAATGCTTCAGAAAAAGGAATCTATTTAACACTCTCTTACTACAACAAACAAATTCTAGGGTGACTGCCCACCCTGCCAAGCCCTTTCTCCAGAAAGTGCCCAGTGCACAGGGTTTATAAATGGGAACTTCATCCCTTCCGGGCACAGCTGTCTGCACACGAGGTGAGGAAAGGGCCTGGTTTTCATCGGGCTAAACATGAAGTCTCTCCCAGGAGTTGGAATGGAGACACCAAAACTCTGATCTGTCTGCTGGATTCGTGCAAAGGCAGATCATGTAAAACCAGGCAGACCATCACCAAATGTGCTCCCAAGTGAAGAAAAATCTGTCTGTGAATGAGGTAGATATGCAGCAGAGAACAAAAATGAGAGACATCCAAAAAGAACTGGGAGGGTGGGTAAGAAACATCTCTTCCCAATTTTGCAGTTCCTGGATGCAGGCCATGGTAGGCAGGACCCATTCTCTGCCAAGGAGTTCTGACAGACTCCCCTTAAGTCTCTGAGTAACTTCCCCTTTCTTCCTGAGCTAAATTTCTCTTGCTCGCAGCCAAATGGTACCTATTTCTCTTATCCTTGACCCAGACAGAAGATGGATTCTTATACATGATAAATGCTTTAATTATCATGGTAGTGAATAACATAACCACTATTTGCCACAAAAGTGAAGAAAAAAAAATCTTGTGACCAAATGTTTGCATCAAAACAACCAGCTCATTGAGCCATTCTAGCTAACTGGATCAAACACTGTTTGTTAGAAGACGAATTTCTTGTAACAAAGTGTTCTAGGTTAAGAGTCAAAAATCCTGGCTTGTAGTCTTGATATTGCTATGAATTTACTAGGGTCCTTGGACAAAGTCACTTGTCCCCCTCCGGATCCTGATTTCCTCGTTAATAAAATGAGGTTGGATTATATACTTTTTAAGGTCTTGTTCTTCTTACAAGGACGGATTTCTATAAAGAAGAAGTAGAGTGCAGAGCTTTCGGGAGAAAGCTAAGTGGTATAGATGTTCATGAGATCATAGGGTCAGTCATGTATGCAGGGCTGCAAACCAAGGTCATTCAGCTTCAGTTGACACTTTTAGCAGTAGATAACACCTCCTGTGACATTACAATGTGTGGTAATAAACTAATGCACTTGATTTCTTTCTTGGATTGTGAAAAATACTCTTATTACAGTCATATCTTATTTATCTTAACAATGAAATGCCAACTCTTAACTGTTACAACTTGAGACTGGCTCAGATGGTGACCCGGCACTTGAGCCCAACGTTTTACACAACTCTAACTGCTCAGGTTACATGACTGCCACTGGCCCCCTCCCCTGATCCCCATAATTTTGAATTAAACCTGTTTATTCATATAACATTAAGGCAGTCACAGATCTAAAGAAACAACATAGATATCTGATGAGTTTGTGACTGTGTGTGTGCTCAGTCGTGTCTGACTCTTTGCGACCCCATGGACTGGAGCCTGCCAGGCTCCTCTGTCCATGGAATTTTCCAGGTAAGAATACAGGAGAGGGTAGCCATTCCCTACTCTAAGGGATCTTCCTGATCCAGGGATTCAACCTGTGTCTCCTACACTGGCAGGCAGGCTCTTTACCACTGCACCATCTGATCATCATCAATAAATATAATAAGAGAGAAAAGGTGTTGTTGCCTGCCAAAAATGGCTGGCTCTTTCTCCAGATTTAGGAACAAATCATGTGAGTACAGTGGAGGCGGGGTCATAACTGATTGTACCTCTTTGTGGTCTTGTTTATTTAACCATGAAGTCGCTCTTGTAAGAAACTGACATTCATTAATCAAGGAAAATGTAATTCGAGTAATTCCTCACAGCTCTTTCTAATCACACCATACGTGCCACCCCAATGAGCCTTACTAAGTAACAAAGTATCTTAGTTCATTCTATGACTTCTCATAACCATATTGTAAACTGTTAAGTATGAGGATGACAATTTCTTAAGCCATAGGTAGGAAAATGTTAACTAGCAGGTTTAAACTTACAACCTCTGATACGGCATAAAACCACATCAATTACAATGCATCCAATGGAAATGTACTTACTAACAGCAACAATAAAATCTTTGTGTAATTTGTAAGTCATCAGTGGTTCTGCAAGGCACCTACAAGAGAGAATACAGCAGATTTCAGAACAGTTACCTTCTGATTTCCCCTGAACTTTCAGTGCTTCTGTGAGAAGTACAATAAAGTCCTACCAGAGAGTTGACAAGTAGCTCTAAAATGCAGACCTCAAAGATACCAGTGTCCTGAGCACTTCTTGCTGCCACTGTATTAAAATGGGAGAGCCTGGGGGAATTATTTTTAATACTTTGTGAGAACTATTGGACTATAGGAACAAAATCCCTCTCAGAAATAGAGGCAATAGTTTCTTTTTTTTTTAAATTCCAATTCAACTTGTGATGTTTTATAAATAATATACGAAGACTTGAATTTGAATCTAATATGAAACAGAAATTATTATTTAGCGCTCATAAACTATCGCAGCCTTTTAAGTTTACTGTTTGAAACAAGCACATATAAACCCCAGAACACTGAATGTAACTGTGACCAGTCTGAGCTAATCCACCTCCAGTGAACGAGCTGTGCCAAGGAGGGAAGAGGACCCCACGGGGCTCCCTGGGGTCCACGCTGCCTGCCCACAGGGGTGACCGTGAGACCACAGCAGAGCGGCAGGAGGCAGGCCCACCTCACCTGAGGTAGTTTTTCAGTCCACTTGTTATTGTCTTATTATCCCACAGCTCAATATCAATGTCCATGTCAGGAGGGGACTTGGGAGCTGAAAAGAATTAAAGTAAGATGTTTAAACTGTGCAATTCAAAATATCACGGGCACTATTAAGAAGATGGATGCAGACAAAAGTAGGTCAAAGAGAGAGGCATGCATTTCTTGAAAGGCCAGTGGAGCTAACTTTTGGACTGCTGTTTGCCTGAGTTGGTGCAAAGCACATTCTGACACTGAACCTCAAACATTTCTTACGGAACGCAGTTTCTCAAGTCAGATGTTTGCCCATTGCTAACGTCACAGCACACTTACCATGTGCTGGGCGTGCTTCTCAGTGCTTTACATGGACTAACGCATCAAATTCTTATAATCCAACGAGCCTCCTTCTATAAACGAGGAGGTGAAGGCACAGAGGGGTGAAGCAAATCACCCAAGGTCACAGAACTGTAAACTGGCTGAGCCAAGATTCCAGTTCAGGCCATCTGAATCCCAACACCCATAAATCTTACTGTACCTCTAGCTAATCGAAGAACACTTGAGGAAAAAGTCAATATTATAAAAAGGGTCCCTTTACAAGTTCTGATTGGTCATCTATAATAATGGTCATTAAAAATGAATACAAATATTAATTTTAGATATGACTTGAAAATACTCAAAGACAAGCAATAACCTATATCTCAAAAAATCCTATGGTTTGAATTTTCTATAAGAATGTAAAAGTTAAGTAAGTAATGGGCTTCAGCCAAAACTTACAAAATGTGGTATTCATGAGTTTCTGCACTTTGGAATTCACTCCTCCTATTCGGTAGAGACCTAAGATGGTGATGCCTAGTGAGAAGGAAAAAAAAAATCACAAGAAAATGGCATAAGACACAAGTTCCAAGGACAGAATGTTAAAAACTCAGATATATGCCTACATAAAATCTGGAAGGTATGCATCCAATTTTAGAGTCTAACTTTAGCAAACCTACCCTGGAAACACTCATCAGACATATATTTCTTAGAGCAAAAATGAACAGTGATTTGAAAGTCTATGAAGAGCCTCAAAATGGCAAAGTACAGCTGTCTATTCACCACTACCTGAATATAAAAAACCATTCAAGATGAGAAAGAACGGTCAGTATTTCTCATATTCTGTTTCCTTAATCACGGAGTCCTATGTGTTGAACAGTTGGATGGAATTGCTAGCTTCACTTTAAAGCTGAGGATGGGACTGACATATATACACTTCTATATAAAAAAGAGATAACTAATAAGGGCTTACTGTATAGAATAGGGAATTCTACTAAATACTCCATAATTGTCTATTTGGGTAAAGAATCTAAAATGGGGTCTATATATATGCATGTGTAAAACTGATTCACTCTGCTATACACCTGAAACTAACACAACATTGTAAATCAACTATTCCCCCCCAAAAATTAAACAGAAATAAAGGTGAGAAGACAGATTCAGAGATTTTTAAGGAAATGACTTGACTTCTCAAAACTTAAATGGCAGCACCAAACTTTGATTATAAGTTTAAAGAATTCCAAAGCCCAACAGGAGGTTTTGCTTTAGACAAGTTTTCCTGGAAGTAAAAGGCAACTAGAGTGGACTTCAGGACAGAGGTCATGACTAGACTGAAGACAGGTGCTGCATTTGTGACGGTGACAAAAATCACTGTGAGATATAATGCAGGGAAGGAGGAGAGCTGAATTCAAACTCCTCAGGAATCTTACTTCCTACAGCTTGGAAAAAAATAATAATATCAGTCCATCAAAAAGAAGTAAAGTGAGGCTATATCATGAAACTTCATGAAAAAGAAGTATGTCTGTAGTATGACTTTGGCAAACTGAAGCTCAAAGTACAGCTGTTTCATGTTTGCATAATTTATAAATCATATATTTCTTAAAGTTAAGCTCCTGTTGATAACAAAGTATATCCTGATTTCTGAGCAGCTTCTTTGTAAGAAGGGAACATGCATCAGTAATGGTGTACCCATCAGGCAGCACTGACCTCTCGTTTCCACAGCTTGGATGCATTTTCTCACAAAGTTGAACCCTGCTTCATTTAAGTACACTGGAAATAAAAGAAAACCATATTAAGTGTTTATGATGAACTAACATTACTGCTTCAGTCGGCTCTGTTGTTCCATGGCTTGATGGCACACAGGCTGTTACTGAATTTATCAAATATTTTGATTAGCATCTGATTTTTTATTTGGGGCTGGAAGTGAAAGAGGGAGATTCATATTCACCAATGTTTTTATATCAACTTGCTTCATTAAAAACACAGCTCTTTCACAGAAAGTAATATGTAAAATTGAGCCCATCCATTTTCCCTAAAATTAGCATTTTACTTTCTACGTAAATCCTTTACTACGTATTTTTCTGGATGATAGAAGCAAATACAATAAAAATAAACTTTTACTGTGTGTTAATAATTATATTACAAAGCTATTCATATATTTTTCCCATGAGATTCTCCAAAGAATATTATGAGGTATAGATAAAGCACTGCAATCTTAAGGTGATTTACCAAGTTGCTGAAAACTGCTTTTTTTTTTTTGTTCTAAGGTCTAGAGCCACATTTTAACTCAGGTCTCCTGAATTCTATGTTCTATTCTATTTCATTTCATATCATATTCAAAATAGTTCAAAATATGCATAGTAAGTTCACTAAAAATCCTCTCAAAGATTCTCCATTATGAAACTGCACTTTATTTTCATTGCTTTTTGACAGATTTTCTTAAGGTTTAGAGGTTGAATCAAATTAGACTACTTGTTTAAAGAGAAAGGATTTAAAAATACCAAATAATAACCCACAGGGAAAATTCAAAAAGTTTTGATACTATAATGCAAATTGTTACCAAATATAGTGAATATATGATATTCCCAAATAATAATTTATGAAGACAAAGACAAACCATTAAAAAATTAAAACTGGTTTCCATTTAAAGATGGTGGATTAAACACATAAATGCAACAACATAGATTCACAGAAAACATACATCAAAAAATTAGGCTAAAAAAAGGTGCCAGGAAAGATGAAAAACTTTGAAGAAATCCTAGGCATAGAAAATCACCGAAACTGAATTGACTGAAAAGTTTGAGAAATCTAAGATGAGAAATGAGAAACTGAAAAGCTAGAGGTACCACACTGAGCTACCTCACACCTGTCAGAATGGCCACCAAACACACACACAAACAAAACAAATAACACATGTTGGCAAGGATGTGGAAAAAAACAGAACCCTTGTACACTGTTGGAGGGAATATAAATTGGTGCAGCCACAGTGAAAAACAGTATAGAGGTTTCTCAAAAAAGTAAAAATAGAACTACCATATAACCCAGCAATTCCACTCCCAGGTATATTAAAAACAAAACAAAACAAAACAAAACACTAATTCTAAAAGACACATGCTGATGTATGGCAAAACTCATCATAATATTGTAAAGTAATTGTCAAGATGTGAAAGAATAAACTGCATTGGCCAAAATAGCGATGCATTTTTGCTTTATTGCCTTTGAACATCCTTTGCTATTGCCTGAAAGGGTAGACAGAAGTTCCGTGATAGAGGTAAAATTCAGCTTTGCTTAGAGCCAGGTGAATCTGGGGTTGGATCTCAACTCACGGCTTTGTGATGGAAGCGTGCCTATGAACCTTTATGAATGCTATCCTTTCATCTAAAAATGAGGGAAATAACACTACATGTCTTAAAGGATTGCAGTAAGATGAAGACAAAACCATGTGAACCAGTGAAGAGCACCAAACATGGAATAAATGTAATTAGATCCCTTCTTCATGTGCTCCTATCCACACACTACTGAGAAACAGAAGAAATGATAAAAACAAAGAAAACAGTCAGCCACTAGTGCTAAGCAGAAGAAAGAGACATAGTTACTCTCCCACTTAGTAACTGTATTACTGGGGATAGTTTTAATTCTTTATCTTATTTTCTTCTTCCATAAGATAAGGATAATAGTAATACTGTCTACATATGGCTATTCCTAGATGAAATATGTTAACATTTGCAAGTATCCTAGAATAATATTTAGAATATAGTGCTACAGAGTGTTGGCTCTTATCATCACCATCATTGTAACTGACTAGAGGAGAATGTAAAATCTACATACGCAAATCACACGAACAAGGTATTCTTTGGGCAGGGCTGAAGTCCCTGGGGATTGAGGTACTATCGGCCTGGAGCATTATTCTTCAAAGAGCCATCAGTTCAGTTCACTAGCTCAGTCGTGTCTGACTCTTGCGACCCCACGAACAGCAGGCCTCCCTGTCCATCACCAACCCCAGGAGTTTGCTGAAACTAAAGTCCATTGAGTTGGTGATGCCATCCAACCATCTCATCCTCTGTTGTCCCCTTTTCCTCCTGCCTTCAATCTTTTCCAGCATCAGGGTCTTTTCCAGTGAGTCAGGTCTTTGCATCAGGTGGCCTAAGTATTGGGAATTTCAGCTTCAGCATCAGTGGTTCCAATGAATATTCAGGACTGATTTCCTTTAGGATGGACTGGTTTGATCTCCTTGCAGTCCAAGGGACTCTCAAGTGTGTTCTTCAACACCACAGTTCAAAAGCATCAATTCGCTGGCGCTCAGCTTGCTTTATATTCCAACTCTCATATCCATACATGACTACTGGAAAAACCATAGCTTTGACTAGATGGACCTTTGTCAGTAAAGTTACGTCTCTGCTTTTTAACATGCTGTCTAGGTCGGTCATAGCCTTTCTTCCAAGGAGCAAGTGTCTTTTAGCTTCATGGCTGCAGTCACCATCCACAGTGATTTTGGAGACCAAGAAAAGAAAGTCCCTCACTTGGTTCCATTGTTTTCCCATGTATTTGCCATGAAATGAGGGGACTGGATGCCATGATTTTAGCTTTTTGGAATCTTGAGTTTTAAGCCAGCTTTTTCATTCTTCTCTTTTACTTTCATCAACAGGTTCTTTAGTGGCTCTTCACTTTCTGCCATAAGAGTGGTGACATCTGGTATCTGAGGTTATTGATATTTCTCCTAGCAATCTTGATTCGGCTTGTGCTTCATCCAGCCCAGCATTTCACATGTTGTACTCTGCATAGAAGTTAAATAAGCAGGGTGACAATATACAGCCTTGACGTACTCCTTTCCCGATTTGGAACCAGTCTGTTTTTCCATGTTCAGTTCTAACTGTTGCTTTTTGATCAGAGGCAGGTAAGGTGGTCTGATATTTCCATCTCTATGAATTTTCCACAGTTTGTTATGATCTACACAGTCAAAGGCTTTGGCATAATCAATAAAGCAGAGGTAGATGTTTTTCTGGATTCTCTTGTGTTTTTGAGTATCCAACAGATGTTGGCAATTTGATCTCTGGTTTCTCTGCCTTTTCTAAAACCAGCTTGAACATCTGGAAGTTCATGGTTCATGTACTATTGAAGCCTGACTTGGAGAATTTTGAGTATTACTTTGCTAGTGTGTGAGTTGAGTGCAATTGTGCGGTAGTTTGAGCATTTTTTGGCATTGTCTTTCTTTGGGATTGGAATGAAAACTGACCTTTTCCAGTCCTGTGGCCACTGCTGAGTTTTCCAAATTTGCTGGCATACTGAGTACAGCACTTTCACAGCATCATCTTTTAGGATTTGAAATAGCTCAACTGTAATTCCATCACCTCCACTATGTTCATGGTGATGCTTCCTAAGGCCCCTTTCACATTCCAGGATGTCTGGCTCTAGGTGAGGGATCACACCATCATGGTTATCTGAGTCATGAAGATCTTTCTTATATAGTTCTCCTGTGTATTCTTGCCACCTCTTCTTAGTATCTTCTGCTTCTCTTAGGTCCATACTGTTTCTGTCCTTTATTGAGCCCATCTTGGCATGAAATGTTCCCTTGGTAGCTCTAATTTTCTTGAAGAGATCTCTAGTCTTTCCATTTTATTGTTTTCCTCTATTTCTTTGCAGTATTCACTGAGGAAAGCTTTATAATCTCTCTTTCCTATTATTTGGAACTCTGCATTGAAATGGGGATATCTTTCCTTTTCTCCTTTGCCTTTAGCTTCTCTTCGTTTCTCAGCTATTTGTAAGGCCTCCTCAGACAATCATTTTGCCTTTTTGCTTTTCTTCTTCTTGGAGATGGTCTTGGTCACCACCTCTTGTACAATGTCACAAACCTCTGTCCTTGGATCTTCAGGCACTCTGTTTATCAAATCTAATCCCTTGAATCTATTTGTCACTTGCACTGTATAATTGTAAGGGATTTGATTTTTGTCATACCTGCATTGTCTAGTGATTTTCCCTATTGTCTTCAATTTAAGTCTGAATTTGGTGATAAGGAGTTCATGATCTGAGCCACAGTCAGCTTCTGATCTTGCTTCTGCTGACTGTACAGACCTTCTCCAACTTTGGCTGCAAGGAATGTAATCAATCTGATTTCAGTATGGACCCTCTGATGATGTCCATGTGTAGAGTCGTCTCTTGTGTTGTTGAAGAGGTGGTTACTATAAATAACAATGAGCAAACCCATCCTCTCATTGGAACTAAACAGATTACAGCAGTTTAGGACTATCAATCACCTGTATTTGTTGCCCCTTCCTGTAGGATGGTTGTGTGTCTCAGCTCTCACTAAGACAGTTTGGTCACATGATATGCACTAGCCAATGAAACATGAACAGAAGTGACAGACATTGTCATCCATCAGTCAGGGAGAACTGGTATGTAGGAGCTTGACATTTTCTAGTTCCCTCTGGCACAAGATCATCAATATTAGAGAGACAAGGTATTCCATGAGCTTGGATTTTAGAGTAAAAACTATGAATAAGAAAATCACAGCTGACCTGAATGGACCTAGAGCATAATCAAGATATGAACCTTCACTGTGGTAAGTCTCTCTATCACAGCATAACCTGGTGTTTCTGATTTAATTATATATAACTTCAACAGTTTTCTACTCAAAAAGGACTAAATGAAAGAAAGGCAATCCCACACTCTTAGCTTTTACTTGCTTAACTGGAATGTAGCAGAGGTTTTTTGGCTACTGAGTTGCCAATTCCTATAAAAAGACATCAAAAGGCAATAAAGGCAATACCCATTCA